TTATTCCAATAGACTGTCAGTGTCTGTGACTTAAGCGTTGCGGACGCGATTCGTAATGTCGAGGTGCCGGGTTCAATCATAGCTGCAAACGATTTGGCAGCAGAACGTATTGCCTTGTTTCGACAGTGGTACCGAGCCGACCGTTGAGTGAGCAATAGCAAATTACTGAACGAACATAAAATTTACATAGAAAAGCCACAACAGCAACAAGATTATGGTTTTCGTTCTGCAACCTCTTGTAATGGACACACAACCAACTTTGAAACAATAATGGAAATAATTCTCTATTAGTCGCTCTCATTCAACAAATATCTCAATTTCTGACAACATGTTTGTTTTCTCCAAGTCTCTTACAATTCCCCGCTCCCCCACCACTATAATGCTCACAGCATGTTTATTATCCCATAATAAAAATCCCCTGTGTGGTTCATAACAAAGAGCTAGCTTTTTGTTAAGGAAAACTTTCCTGCGTGATTCACACAAAAAACTTTGTTTATGAAAAATCCCCCATGTGATTCATTTCAAAAAAGTTAGTTCTTTTTATATATGAACTACCACCCACCCCCCCCCCCCCCCCTTTTTTTTCCCCCGTGTGGTTCACACAAAAAGCTAGTTCATTGTTTATGGGTCCCCCCCCCCCCACCCCACCCCTCGTCTGGTTGACACAAAAAAAGCTAGTTCTTCATGAGAAATCTCGTGTATAATTCATTTAAAGAAAGTAAAGTAATTCAGCGACAAACGCCGTGCATCTTATCCACTCCACCTCAAAATATTCAGACACACCGGTGATCTGTTAGAACTTAAACCCGGTAAGACTTTACAACTCCCACAAGCAACTTTCCCTGCAGATTGCCTCAACTGTTACCTGTAACCATCTCCATTATTACGAACTGCAGTTCAGCACATTCAGTATCACAGATTTCGGAGAGAGAGAGAGAGAGAAAAACTCAGTTAATTTCACATGATTTCAGAACTATCGGATTGAAATCAGGCCATGATCGTGTTCAGTATGTTCGGACATGTGTTAGGTCAGCCAGATAGAGTATTTAAGTGAGCTTATCTCACTGCTCCAATCTCTTGCAGAGTTCAATTGCTTTTGGTCTACAAACAATGGTAACTTCAGTTTCCTTATTTTCTACACTCAGTGGTAACTATAGTTTCCTAATTTTCTACACACAGTGGTAACTATAGTTACTTAACATTCTACACACAATGGTAACTATAGTTTCAAAATTTTCTACACACAGTGGTAACTATAGTTTCTTAACATTCTTCACACAATGGTAACTATAGTTTCCTAATTTTCTAGACACAGTGGTAACTATAGTTTCTTAACATTCTACAGACAGTGGTAACTATATTTCTTAACATTCTACTGACAGTGGTAACTATATTTTTTAACATTCTAAACACAGTAGTAACTATATTTCTTAACATTCTAAACACAGTGGAATTATATTTCTTAACATTCTAAACACAGGTGTATCAATATTTCTTAACATTCTACACACAGCGGTAACTATATTTCTTCACATTCTACAGAGATAACTATATTTATTAACATTCTACACACTGTGGTAACTATATTTCTCAGTTTTATTCTACACGCAATGGTGACTATGCTGTCTAAATTTTCGTCTCGATAATGATTGATGGAAAGAAAACAAGAGGAAGGAGTAGAGATACATATCTGGATGGCTTGGCTAAATTGAAAAGGGGAAGGGGTGGCCACAAACATTGAACTGATCCGGGATTCTGTTGATAGTGTGATATGGCGAAACATGACAGCCTACGCTTACCGGCAAGGCACAGTATGATACTCAAAACTCTTCCGCAGTACTTATTTTGCCCTTAATATCTCACCGGTTTTTTTAAATCGCCCAGCGGTCTCTGTAAGGTTGTGAAAGGCCGCCATGTTCACATAATGGTATTTCTTGCAATTAGTTTTACTGAAGTTAAACCCCCATTTGATTTGAGCTCTTAAACTCCACAGCGTTTTCCAACAATTACCCAACTGCTGACAACAGCACTGGCTATAGCCACGGTCCATGGCGCCTGTATCCGCAGGGTCTGTTACTTCGCCAACTGGGCCCAGTACGGTCCTACAGCAGAGACACAGTACTTCGCCAAGGACATTGACCCAAACGTTTGTACGCACATTGTCTTCGCTTTCGCCAAACTTAACGGCAACAAACTGGCGCCGATTGAGTGGAATGATGAGTCATCTGATGGCGAAACTGGACAATATGAAATGGTAAGGGTTTTACCATAATCAGTTAAAAGCATACAGTCAATATATGTAATAGTTCAACTCATTTTAAATAGTACAACCATTCTAGTCAAACACTGGTATTCTTGAGTCATTTCCTTCTAAAAAGCATTCCCCTGTTCTTCTGATACTCCCTATTTTCTTCCTCTTTCTTCATCTCCCCCTCCTCCTCTTGTCCCTCTTTTTCTTATCCTCTTCCTTCTTTTTATTTTCTTTCTACCTAGGTATCACTTTCGATTGAAGCCTATCCTATAGGGAACACGTGGAAGCAGTTACGGTGAAATGCCAAAAAGGACTCCGTGTTCTCAAGATTATGGCAGCAATGGACATGGAACAAAGAATGCTGTTCACAATGTTCCAGCGTGTGATCCTGTCAGTGATATATTACGGACTTAGAATGCTTACCAATTCAAAGAGACAGCTGATAAAACACAAACGCATACAGAATGAAGCCATGTGGGTAATTCTGGAATGTACAAGAGATAGCCAGATAGCATGTATGCGATATATACTTACACTGCCTACTATTGCAGATAGACTAAAAATTCTGCAGGCAATATCATATCTACGTGTAGCTGCAGACAAGAAGCACCTCCTACATGAACCCTGGGTAGAGCTAATGGTCCCAGACGGAAAAGAGGAAGGTCTTGGATGGCGCAAGCTGAAGACACAATTAGACATGCGTGCAGGAAAGGTAAATTTGAGCGAGGAGAGTAGTGGGTAAAGGTGTCCGAACAAGTTTCAGACTTGTGTAGGGTTCTAATCACTTTAGGTCGTGAGTGCAAAGACTGACCAGCTAGTGATGCGAAATCAGAAGTTCAACGAATGATTTTATGACAATTCATGCCAAGGTGATGTGATCGTCTATACAGATCGCTCTGTGTTCAGGGGCAGACTAAGTTCATATAGATTTATAGCAAAGTCGAGTGTACTGCGCTTTGTTCAGCAACGCTTTTCATTTAAAATCACAATGTCTAGTTTGAGAATGGAGGTGGAGGCAGTCTGCTGCCTTCTGCTGGCTTGAGAATCAGTTGTACACACATGCCGTAATTGTAACTGACTCACAGAGCATGTTGAGAAAGATGAAGATTGGCACGCTTCGTGCAGAGTGGCAAGCATCGCTTCAGAGGTCCGGGGTAGTTAGCATTCTTTGGATATTTTCTCCAGGTCATGCGGTGTGTTAGGAATTGAGCAGGCAGATAGACTGGCCGGTTCTGCACCACTTGGTGGTAAATTGATGTATGACAATCTAGAAATTGTGAGGGCCCTTTGGGAACAAGTGAACAGTGCAGAGGCGCAGATAGCTTACTACGGTCTGAGGAGAATGACGCTGCGAGGAATTACCAGGGCATATTTTAAAGACGAATAATGAGAATACCCTGGACAGACAAAAATAGTGATGAAGATATCTCGAAAGAAACTGGCTCACGAAGAGAACGTATTGCCCACATTACGAAGGACAATCTACATTTTTTAGTCATGTGATGGAAAGGAGAAATCTGGAAAACATCGTGACAGTAACAAAGTTGGATGGAAAGAGATGCAGAAGAAGACTGAAAGAAATGATGCTAGGTAGTCTGACATCCTGGCATGGACGATCATCTTTATCAGAGGTAACTGAAAGTACATGAGATAGAAAATTAGGTGCTTTATTAATATCCTACCCCAAACAGGGAAATCCACAGGTCACGGGACAGTCTGCTTTTTCAGGGGGTGGTAGATAGGCTGCATGCAGTCGTGGGACCTAGGCTGCATGCAGTCGTGAGACCTAGGCTGCACTCTCTTGTGTGATGTAGGTGGGTTAGGGTTAGGGCCATTTCTAGATGTTTTAGGATCGTTAAAAGCATCAGAAAGCTGGGAAACCCACTCTCACCACCCTCTAAAAGGTTGGACTGTCTTGTGACGTCATCTGGATAGGATAATAATAAAGAACCGAAACTTCTAACAGACATGACTACTAACGCCACAGGCGCGAACTTTAGGCAGACTGTAACAGACAATTGGTTGTGACTACGCCAACCTTCGCATTGTACACACTGTGGTATGTGTCGGTACATTATCTTTCCTTAAAATACATTGTCTTGCTCATATCCTTTTTCACAGTCGTCATATTTTTTTTTTTTTTTCAACTGATACTAATTCTAGACGTTTCTCACTGCAGCTTGCAAATCTCAAACAAAAAAACCCAAGTTTGAAAAACATGATTGCCGTTGGCGGCTGGAGCTTAGGTTCCGACCCCTTCCACCACGTTGTCAACTCCGCAGCCTCCAGAACAGAATTTGTTACCAGCACGGTTAAGTTCCTGCGAGATCACAAGTTCGATGGTCTTGACATTGATTGGGAATACCCCGCCAATAGAGGAAGTCCAGCAGACGACAAGCATAAGTTTACGCTCCTGCTCCAACAGCTTAGACAAGCTTTTGACTCAGAAGCCAGCGGCAACAACAGATTGCAGCTGTCTGCAGCAGTAGCCGCGGGAAAGGGAGAGATTGATTCCGCTTACGAGGTTGCTGCCATCAGCCAGTATCTTGACTGGATCAACCTGATGACCTATGACATGCACGGCAGCGACTGGGAATCCGTGACCGGACATAACAGTCCTTTATACCCTCATGGTTCAGGTAATACTTACAGTAGTAAACAGACTTTTCCATGCATCGTGATAACATAGTAAAAAAAAAAGTAAGTAAAGATCCCTTTTCACGCCTTAGAGGATCGGTCATATGGGAAGAGCACCCGCATTTTTACAGACCAATCGGCTCTATCTGGGTAATGTGGTCAGCATTACGCCGGCCGTCTTTACTCCCCCAGGACATGCATCCTGGTTCCCATTTTAGGCTAGGTCGACCTGCGACGCCCCATACCATGATACAAATCCACGCCGCTAGCACTGGCTTTCGATCGCGGTACGTTGGAATTACGAGTCGGACTCGCAACGCCCATTGCGACGGACGCCGCATTGTGGTAACATAATGGACCATTATTCGCGCCTTTAAACGTACTAGGCATATAGGGTTGGACCTATATTTTATATCACAATCAGCACCTATTGGTCATGTGGTCAACATCAGACTGGCTGCCTTTACTTCACATGACTACACTGGGTGCCTTTACTTCACATGACTACACTGGGTGCCTTTACTTCACATGACTACACTGGGTGCCTTTACTTCACATGACTAAACTGAGTGCCTTTACTTCACATGACTACACTGAGTGCCTTTACTTCACATGACTACACTGGGTGCCTTTACTTCACATGACTACACTGGGTGCCTTTACTTCACATGACTACACTGAGTGCCTTTACTTCACATGACTACACTGAGTGCCTTTACTTCACATGACTACACTGGGTGCCTTTACTTCACATGACTACACTGGGTGCCTTTACTTCACATGACTACACTGAGTGCCTTTACTTCAAATGACTACACTGAGTGCCTTTACTTCACATGACTACACTGAGTGCCTTTACTTCACATGACTACACTGAGTGCCTTTACTTCACATGACTACACTGGGTTCGCATTTAGGGCTGGGCCGACCGGAAACTAATTAATCGACTCCTACGACATGATTGTTTAAGAGGCTGTTGGTTTATTTTTGTTTCCCTCACAATAGGTCCCATAAACTCACACAGTTGAATTTCCATATCAGTTTTTCTTTACATATATTTTCACATGCGTACTTAGTGTACACCGGTTGGTTCGAATTCCCAAATCAGTTTCTGGTACATATATTAGGCTAGGTCTGTCTACGAGGCCAGGTCAGTTGGAAACGAAATCACATTTGAGAGGGATTACAAATAAGTCACTGCTTTTTTTTTTCATAATCTAAACGGGACGAATTCAAAAGACACAGCCTCCAACTATCTAACTATCTAGTCACCCTTCAACGTAGTGTCCGACCATCTATTTCCCTGTGTCGTCGGCCTGGTTGTACCATTAGTGACTAATCGCCTACAGGTCTTGTCAATTGTTTTTCGCGTCAGCAGGCAAGTGGGTGACTAGCCACTCATCCAAATGTAACATACAGAAACCCATTAGGGTGACTAGCCACCCATCTAAAAGTAACACACAGAAACCCATTAGGGTGACTAGCCACCCATCTAAAAGTAACATACAGAAACCCATTAGGGTGACTAACTGTATGAAACAAAATGATAGTTAGCCAGTTAGATACATTCATGTGTAGACAGATATATAGTAAGGAAGAAAACAGACTGACTGCTAGCTAGCCAGCTAGACAGACAAACAGACACACACATGGATGGATAAATGTGTGAATGGACGGAAGGACGGACGGGCTGATAGACGGACAGAGAGACAGACACAGACAGACAGACAGACAGACAGACAGACAGACAGACAGACAGACAGACAGACAGACAGACAGACAGACAGACAGACAGACAGACAGGACAGACAGACAGACAGACAGACAGACAGACAGACAGACAGACAGACAGACAGACAGACAGACAGACAGACAGACAGACGAGACAGACAGACAGACAGACAGACAGACAGAAGACAGACAGACAGACAGACAGACAGACAGACAGACAGACAGACAGACAGACAGACAGACAGACAGACAGACAGACAAGACAGACAGACAGACAGACAGACAGACAGACAGACAGACAGACAGACAGACAGACAGACAGACAGACAGACAGACAGACAGACAGACAGACAGACAGACAGACAGACAGACAGACAGACAGACAGACAGACAGACAGACAGACAGACAGACAGACAGACAGACAGACAGACAGACAGACAGACAGACAGACAGACAGACAGACAGACAGACAGACAGATCAGACAGACAGACAGACAGACAGACAGACAGACAGACAGACAGACAGACAGACAGACAGACAGACAGACAGACAGACAGACAGACAGACAGACAGACAGACAGACAGACAGACAGACCAGACAGACAGACAGACAGACAGACAGACAGATAGATAGATAGATAGATAGATAGATAGATAGATAGATAGATAGATAGATAGATAGATAGATAGATAGATAGATAGATAGATAGATAGATAGATAGATAGATAGATAGATAGATAGATAGATAGATAGATAGATAGATAGATAGATAGATAGATAGATAGATAGATAGATAGATAGATAGATAGATAGATAGATAGATAGATAGATAGATAGATAGATAGATAGATAGATAGATAGATAGATAGATAGATAGA